CAACCTATTTATTATTTGACACACACGAGCTTGACCTTTAATTATAATAATAATAATAATAATAATAATAATAATAATAATAATAAAAATAATAAAAATAATAATAATAATAATAAAAATAATAATAATAATAATAATAATAATAATAATAATAATAATAATAATAAAACTTTCGAGAATAATTATGTTCACGAGAACTGCAATTAATCGAGGAATAGGAGAGTTTGTAAAAAAAGTAATTGATTGTAACAAGCAATGGGTGCATCCAGAAGCATGACCGCTCACTGAGCGCTCATTGAGCGCTCAGTATATCCCCTAGATCTATCTACTGGATACAAACACTCTCTGAGCTGCTCACGGTGAGCGCTCGCCACTTTCGTGAGCGTAGTTTTCTATCGCTCACTCAGCTCACTTTACGCTCTCTCTCCAATCTTCGCGCCAATTTAATATCCCTAAAAGTTAATAACTATAATATAATTCTTGTGCTGTTGTTAATTTTTATCTTTTAGTTGAAAAGTTAAGTTATTCTTGTTTGCAAATAATAAAAAAATTAACATATTAAGTAGTTAAACATTATTTTATATGTACACATTTTTTGAAATATAGTCTAATCTACAAAGTTGTGTGTGTGTGTGTCCGTGCTTGCGTGCGTGCGGCGTGCGTGTGTGCGTGTGATCTGTTCTTTATCATACTTTTAATTTTTATATTGCATTTTTCTGATAATTATATTTTTTTAAACAATTTATTTATTATGTAATTCCTAATTTTTAGTAAAGAAAGCATAATACACTTGACGGCACAAAAACATAATACGCTTATACATATACTGCAAAAGAGAGAAAATTATATTTGTACAAAATTACAAATTTTAATAATTATGTAACATGCGAAATATAGAATAGGTACATCTCTACTCTAGCTAATAACATTTAGATAAAGCATTTGTATATTTTTACAGGTGGCAGGTAGTAAAAATAGAAATTAATAATTGCGCAGATCTTTATAGAGACGTAATGTCTACTATAAATGCAAATAAATATCTATAACTTATAAGTCATATAAATGCGTATAATAAACTGTTGTGAGCATATATCCAGTACATCAAAAATGCTCACTGAGCGGCTACCTGTGAGCGCTCAATGAGCGATCGTGCTTCTGGATGCAGCCATTGGGCATTCCGATATTCAAGCGGGGAGCACACACTTCTGCACAACGCATAATGCATAAGCATAAGAAAATTGATTGGTCTATTTCCTTATGCACATGTGTATAGACCAATCAATTTTCTTATGCTTACGCATTATGCGTTGTGCAGAAGTGTGTGCTCCCCGCTTCACTGTCAGTACTGAAAATCTATATTTTACGTCATGTACACTATAGATTTTCAGTACTGACAATTGCTGACAGTAAATATCGGAATGCAACTACTGTAAGGGCTCAGTCACAATGAGAAAAATAAGGAATAAGATAAAGGAATAAGGAATAAGACATGTTGCATCTCACTTTAATGTACGTGTACTGAAGTGAGATGCGACATTCCTTTATTCCTTATTCCTTTATCTTATTCCTTATTTTTGTCATTGTGTCTGAGCCCTAATATATCTCGATTGTGTACATATACTATTTACGAAAAATAATTAACAATGGTGATTGGTTGGATCCAAAGGTAATAACCAATCTTCTATAGCTACTTAGCAGCTCAGTTTGTGGTCGTGCTCCTGGATGCACCCAATGAATTCGAGATTATGGCTACGGTCAACGTGACGCTACAAATGCTTCGAAGCATTCCTCTTCTCTTTTCTTTCAATGAAGAAAGAAAAAGAAGAAGAACGCTCCAAAGCATTTGTAGCGTCATGTTGACCGTAGCTTATATCGAATTGCGAAGCGTGTGACAAATAAGGTATTCACGAAGAATGCAAAACGCGTTGTCGATACTGAGAACTATTAGTGATTAGTTGCTTTTTTCACACGATTTTAATCGGATTTAATGTTTCGCGACACATACACGATTTTCGAACAAATTACTTATGTGCATGTTATATGATTTCAGCATTTAGTGCGTTATTTGATGATCTCCGGTGGGACATGGAAATATCTGAAGGCAATGTACAAATAAGAAATCAGCCGACAAACTTGATCTCAGCGTACGATAAGCGGAAGGATGATGAGCCCGAGGTGGATCTTAATGAAGTCGAAATAATTACATCAGCGCAGCATTTTTGCGCAATCAAGATCAGAGAGACTAAGAACTATGATGAGAAAACGATTGACAAAGATCAGAGTGAAGCGAACGAATCAAACACTTCAGAATCCACTTTAGAAAATATACAACATACCGAGAACGGCGCTATTACCAACGTGCTAACAGATCCAATTTATTTAGACTCCTTGAACTCTAATTCCATAAATATTGAGTTCCAAAAACAGTCAAACGCAACGGAAGTGTTCATTCGAAGCAACGAACAGATAACAACTAATTACAATATATCTACAGTGACTATATCGAACAAACTTTTGGATGGGCTTAATATCAATATAAAAAAGGAGGATGACGAAGATCACGGCACATTATATACCGCAGAATGGTTATGCGACGGCAATAACGACGCCAATATACGACTGAGGATCTTGAAGGATGCCAAACAAAATGTACAAATTCCCGTTGACGTTGACGACATAATCACGTTAGCAAAACGTAAAAACCAATTAACGGATAGCAAGGATAGCCTTGAACAGGAAAAAACTAAATTATCCAGAAGATCAAAAAAACACGTCAAGCTGAAGTCCGCCGTGCATCATCAAGACTACAGGGAAAGATTGAGGAAAAAGGCTGAATGTATGAGAGAGAAACGGAAAAAGCTATACGAGCAAGAGAGCGAGGAGCAACGTTTGCAAAGGTTGGCAAAAGAAGCGGCGAAGAGACGCGAGATGAGAATGTATTACGAGACTCCGGAGCAACGGAGGAAACGACTCGACGCTGAAGCAGCTAGAAAAAGAGAATATAGAATGTATAACGAGACGCCGGAAGATAGGAGAAAGCGACTTGATCGTGAAGCTGAAAGAAGAAGAATTAAGAGATTGTCATTATACGCAAACGAAACGCCGGAACAGAGAAGGGAAAGATTAAATAAAGAGTCGGCAAAGAGGCGAGAGGCCCGCTTGAGTCAGTATGCTAAAGAGACAGAAGAGGAAAGGAAGGAAAGATTGCGAAGAGACGCGCTGAGAGCCAGGGAAATGAGATTCACAAGATCCGCCATCGAGACGGAAGAGGAGCGTAGGCAAAGGTTAGTAAAGGATGCCCTTAGAAAAAGGGAGGTAAGAATGCATGGCAGTCATGCAGTGAACAATAATTTTACGGAACTCCGAACCGTTCGCAATTTTCAAGAATTGAACGATGTGCAGATAAGAGACAATCCCGAAAATCAATTGGACGGCCATTATCTGAGCAACTGGATGATGTGGTTTCAAAATACATTGACACAGACGGTTCACAGTGAAGAACAGGTCGCAGAGCCGCAAGCACAGCATAATAGATAACTTGTGTTTTTCGTTATGAGCATGATTTCTCAAGAACTTTCGTATATGAACGCGATAATTGATAATAGAAAACAATCTGGATGTGCTTTATATATGCTTTCTATATAATTCTCGGACGTGGAGAGACAAAATCGTAACGGCACAATTACCATTACGCCAATTACTTATTTGATAGCATTACGAGACAATAGCAATAGCAAGAGAGTTATAAATTCATATTAGAAACACTATTTTATAATATTTATAAACACCGGAACGAACACAATTACGCTGCTTTGTCGACAACTAAAAAAAAATCTTATAACAGTTATAACTTAATTCACATTATTTGTATCAACTGCTGAGGACAGATGAAGACTTCAGAGAAAAACCGAACATTTTTCAGTGTGTTTGCGTAATGTTTAATCGTGCGACTAATTATTTAAATATTTAAAAGATTTTCTTGCTCGTAAAAGATACGAGATACATCTTAAAGTAACATAGTTACTCTTTGATGTTAGGTTTAAGTGTATAAATAAATTTTAAGAGAGGTTGATGCGACGAAAGAATGGGAGTTGTACATTGAAAAAACAGACAAGAGAAGCAATTCTTGCCAGTGCCTTTTATTCATTGTTCAACAAAATAAGCGTTCAGACTGAATTCATTAATACATATATGGCATTTGAACATGAGTGAATGATTCTGGTGAAAGTTTGACTGTCTCTTGTGCTATTTGTACAGACAGTTATTATGTACTTCTTTCTACAGTTCCTTTATAATAAATATAATAATAAATTATGTTATAATACGTCATTTCACTCTTTCTATAAATACATATTTTTTTAAATTTTAATTTATTTATTCTATACACGCAGAATTGTTTGATAGTTTAATGATTTATCAATCATTTAATGATATTTTTATTTAAAATAAATATTTAATAGATACAAATTATTATAAGCTGCAACTATTGCAATCAATATGGAAATATAATTAAGGTGAATTTAATTTAACCCTCCGAGAACACACCTTTTTTTTTATTCACGGAGAACATTCTGGGTAAATCTGACCCTACACACACTTTGATCGTCCACCATTTTAAATTGACGAGTGCAATCAGCTTGAAAAAATTTCCAGATGTACTTGGAACATTGTTAAATCAATTGATATAAATAAAAAGTGCCGTTGGAATTATTTACATATTTAAAAAAACTCAAAAAAATTTTTTTTTTGAAATTTTTTTTTATTTTTTAGTTTTTTTTTAAAAAAAAAAAAAAAAAAGTAATTTACAAACAAAATTTTATTTTTTTATTTAAAAAAAACGGTCAAATTTGCCCGATGTGTTCTCGGAGAGTTAATTTAATGTTCAAATGTATTATTTTACAAAATAATGAACAAATGACATGAATTAAAAACTGCGTGAATTGTTAGGAAAAATTCACATCTTGGCAGAATAGCAGAAAGCAGAAAAGCAGCAGCCAATCAGGACTTACGCTGGTAGTAAGCAGAATGTACTCATACAGCACAAAATATAAAAACTAAACTATCTTTATTGCTTATCCCCGCAGGGTTTGCAAGGCGTTTTTTCTTAGGAACGTTACTCAAACCTCCATAATGCTACCCTTCTCCTCTCACTTTAACCCTTTGGACCAACGGTTTAACGTCTCTTCCGAAAGATGGAGCCCAGTTTCCATCTAGGATACCTAGGTGGCGGGGGCAGCGTACAGCACAAAATATTTTTTAGGAAGATTAAAATAATTTACAAAAACATTTTTAGAATGTTTCTATGTCCGCCAGATCATGTCAAAAAAATTTTTTCAAAAATATTTTTAGAAGCCAAAAAGTAAGTGTTTGTTCCGCCAATTTAACCAAAAAAATATATATTTATATCGACAACAATTGGCAAAGGTACATAAAAACTTCACGACGTTTTAACCCAGGATTCGGGTCCTTATCAAGTGATCTAACAAAGCAAAAATACATAAATTACAGCGTGAGGTCAAATAACATAGTCAATAGTTAAAATTTATAATTTAAGAGTTAAAAGTTAAAATTTTCAGAAAGTATAAAAGAAATTCCTTTAAGTCAATGCGGAAATTTTTAAGGAGCAAAAATTCAAATACCTGATGAGGAACCGAGTACCATCTCTCTCTCGTCTGGGGTTTGAACATCACTCTATTAGTTATTAATTTTCTAGTCTCTCATTTGTGATGTTTCTGTCAAAATCTCATAAGCACTAGACTGAAAATGTGCCGACGATGGTACTCGTTTCTTCATCAGGTATTTGAATTTTTGTTCCTTAAAAATTTCCGTATTGACTTAAAGGAATTTCCTTTTATACTTTCTGAAAATTTTAACTTTTAACTCTAAAATTATAAATTTTAACTATTGACTATGTTATTTGACCTCACGCTGTAATTTATGTATTTTTGCTTTGTTAGATCACTTGATAAGGACCCGAATCCTGGGTTGAAACGTCGTGAAGTTTTCATGTACCTTTGCCAATTGTTGTCGATATAAATATTGGTAGAAACGGGTAATAAAAGACGAGGAGAGATTGTGTTGTGTGCGGCATTTAGTCGGTTAATCGCGGTTTTACAAATAGTGTGGTCAGGTTGTCACAGAGGGCAGCCTATATGGCGTCGCTGTAGTTGCGAAATCGCGCGCGAAAACGGCGTTTGTTGCGTAGCGCCCCAGAGACGGATCACGTTGCGGCGACGTGTACATGGTCTGCGCAGACGCAAGCGGGCGTGTTCGTGCGTGCACTGCGTGCAGCCCGGCGAGACGATCATTCGAGAACTATCAGTGGTCTAGTTTACACCGATCACTTGATACGCGTATTAAATAGTAAATAACTAGTAAATAAGTCTGATTATTGGCTGATCAGTTCAAATATACTATTTGATACGCGTATCAAGAGATCGGTGTAAACTAGGCCGTGTCGTTCCGTACGCATCTTTCAGTTTGGGCCTTTCGCCATTACGAAGTTTCGAGAAGCGCGACGTATTTGGGTTGCGTTTAATTGTACGCAAAAAAAGCCTGCTTATCTTCCTCTCGGAGAACGTACTACTACATTTCAACACGTCAACGAGGAAGGAAGGCGCCACAGATAATTTCCTGGCTTAATCACCATTATTGAAAGGAAGGACGACCCGGCCACATGGTGAAAATCGGAACGCCCTTTTTATGGGCTTAGTCACTGCGACTATCTTTCTAAGGCCCGGTCTACAATGGGTGTTGTAAGTCGTTGTCGGATGTCGGAAGTTGTTGCAGGTAATCGTATGTCGGTACAGTCACGACTGACGTTCTACAATAATTTTGTCGTAAGTGTTGGTACGAAGAGTCGAATAAGAAGTCGAATAAGAGTTGAAGAAGAATGGATTCGCAAACTGTGACAATTTGTAATCTATTATTACTTTATGTTGGAATAATAAAAATAAAGTTGCTTCTTTTGAAAAGCAAGCGTCGAAGACGGTGGTGGGTAAAACTCCATATTTCTCGTGAGATTCGAGAAGGTTATGGTGCTTATCGAACTTTATTTATGTATTTCAAAACACATGATCATTATGAATTGTTCAAATTCACAAGAATGTCAGCAGAACAATTTGATCATTTACACAATTTGTTGAAGCCTAAATTACAGAAAACCAGCCAGAGGGAACCGATTTCAACTGAAATTCGTCTTGCTGCAACGTTAAGGTTAGAATTACTCATTTCATATAATAAATAATACTAATGTAACACATGGTTTTTTATTTTTTCTGAAAAACAAAATTTTATTATTAATTGAATTATATTCCTAAAGTAATTCATTCAATATTGCAGCTTCCTTGCTCACGGAGACAGCGTTCGAACAATATCATTGTGGTTTCGCATTGGAAAGTCAACTCTATATGCCATCATTCCTGAGGTGTGTAAAGCAATATGGGATATACTGCAACCTCGATACCTCAAATGTCCTCAAAGTGAGGATGAATGGTTACGCATCGCTGCTGAATTTTATGATAAATGGGATTTTCCCAATTGTATAGGGGCAATTGACGGGAAACATTGTCATATCCAGGCTCCGGCCTATTCCGGTAGTGCATTTCACAACTACAAAGGTTTTTTCAGCTTGGTCTTAATGGCAATTGTTGATGCTAATTACAATTTTATCTGGGTCGACATTGGAGATTATGGTAAGTAGAAACTTTTCAATACAATGACATTAAGAATGAAGAACTCGACGAAAATCAAAAGAAATATTGTCAAAAGCACTGAAAATATGAAATTGATTTAGAGCTCAGTAAAAAAATTATGAAAAAATACAATTAAACTAAAAAAACTAATAAACTATTCAACGTTTAATATAATTTTCAATTTTTAATCATTTATAACATTAATGATACATGATGTAATATATCCTTCAAAATGTCCAAATGTTTGTTGCTAGGTTCTATGAACGACGCTGGAATTTGGTCGAAAACAAAATTGGAAGGAGGGAATAATTGCGCCAATCGTAAAAAAAGGGGAAGGAAAAAGGGCAGAGAAGTATAGAGGGGTGACAATAATGCCGTCTTTATATAAGGTGTACACAGCCATTCTGGCGGAGAGGTTAAGAGAGGAGATAGAGGGAAAGAGAATAGTACCACAGAATCAGACAGGCTTTAGAAAGGGGATGGGAACAATAGACAACATCTACGTACTGAACTACTTGGTGAACAAAAGGCTAGAGAAAAGAAGGGGGGAAAATTGATAGTATGTTTTGTGGACCTTAAGGCGGCGTTCGACTCGGTGGATAGAGGAGTACTGATAAAATCAATGAGAGAAAGAGGGATAAGGGAAGGGCTGCTGAGAAGAACGGAGGAGATTCTGAGGGAGACGAGAAGCAGGGTAAAGGTAGGAGACGGAATGGGAGAAGAGTTCTGGACGGGCAGGGGTGTAAGGCAGGGGTGCCCATTGAGCCCGCTGTTTTTCAACGTGTTATTAGCGGATATGGAACAGGAAATGGGCAGAGTTAAATGGAGAGGAGTAAAGCTAGGAGGTAAGAGGGTGTATACTTTGGCATATGCGGACAATGTGTTAATGGCGGAGGACGAGGACCAAATGAGGAGCATGCTGGAAAGACTGGAAGGGTATCTAAGTAGGAAGAGATTGGAGCTGAACGTGGGGAAAACAAAAATAAGATTTAGGAAAGGAGGAGGGAGGGACAGTAAGAGAAGGTGGAGATGGGAAGGAAAAGAATTAGGAGAGGTGAAGGAATTTCGATACTTAGGGTACATGTTTCAAAGGAATGGAGGACAGAAAGCGCAGGTAAGAGAAAAGATCAAGAAGGCGGCGGCAGTGATGGGGGAAGGTCTGGGGGATAGGGAAGAGGAGATTTGGGAGAGACTGGGGAAAAAGATTATGGCTGTTTGATAGACTGGTGTGGACGGTCCTGGGATATGGAGCGGAAATATGGGGATGGAGAGAAAGGGAAGGAATGGAAAGGATGGAAGAGAGGTATATCAGATGGGTCTTGGGAGTAGATGGGAGAACGCCGTGGTATCTTGTTAGGGAGGAAATGCAAAGGGGGAAGTTAAGAGGGAGGGCTGGGATGAGGGCATGGAGATTCGAGAAAAAGTTAGAGGAGGGTAGAGGAAGTGAACTGGCGAGGCTATGTTGGTAGGAGTTAAAAGGAAGGGAAAAAGAAGGGAAAGCAGGATCAAGTTGGGAGAGAGAAAGAGGAAAGTTCTTTGAAGACAGAGAAGTAGAGTTGAAAGATCTGGAAAGGCTGAGAGAAGACGGAGACGAATGGTTTCACAAACTGTTTGGAGGGGATAAGGAAGTGCAAAGGAGAGAGAGATGGGAGAGGATCGAGGAAGCAGACTATAATAAATGGTACAAGCTAATAAAAGGAGAGGGTATACCGGGATATTTGAAGAAGTGATGGGGAGAGAGTAGATGGAGCAGGGTGGTGAGATTTAGATTAGGGAGTGAGATGAGAGAGAGAGAGAGAGCAGATACTGGGAAACGGAAGAGAAGAAGAAATGTAGGTTATGTGACCTCTCCCATAGGGAGGAAACGTGGGAGCATGTATGGGAAGAATGTAGGAGATGGAAATCAGCAAATGGTAGTTGGCAGGAAGCGGTGGGATGGGTGTTAGATGAGGAAGGGGGAGGAGAGGAATGAATGTTAGAACTAGAAGGGGAAAGAAGGAGAGGAAAAGGAGAGGCGGAGGAATTAGAGGAAGGAAGAGGGGAATAGTGAAGGGGGAGGGGCGAAGAGGAGGGAGAGAGAGGAGGAGGAAAGTGGAATAAAGAAGTGGTGAGCAATTAACTTTGTTACAGATTACCCAGGATGGAATACGAGGGGAGAGCAATAGCAGAGGCGGTGGAAAGGATTGTGGAGGAGAAATTAAAGAAGATGGCGAAGGAGAAAAAAGAGGTTGATAGAAAGAAGAAGGAGAGGATAGAGGAGTTAGAGGAGAAAGTAAAGTGTTCGAGAGCACGCGGTTGCGCGGTATAGCGCGAGGTAACGAGACGACTACAAAAGAACAAAATGAACAGGAAGTACAAATGAAAAATAAAAAATATAATGTTTCAAATCAAATATGTACAAGTTATTTACAGAGTTTCAATATTTCCAGTGAAGGAAAAAGCCGTGAGCGCGCACAATGGTTAGCACGGCAAGAGCGGCGAGCGGTTACGCGAATGCGAAAATGCGGTTGAAGTACAAGCGGTCGTATACGATATACTTTAGCGGGTGATCTACGAGCGAGAAATCGATCCCGCGCCGAGGCGGCGGTCGTTTTATCATTTCCGAGGCGAAACTCCCTCCAGCCATATTTCTACGAATTTCGGGAGGGTGATTGGCCGTCGGAGCCCTACGTCATTGCGCTGACGTCACTATTTGCACGTGATGATCCGCCGATATCGATACTTGTTTTTCACGCAATGTTTATAGCATGGACCTTTCCTTTGTCTTAGCTCGTTTACTTGACTTTGTTTTCGCTGAGTGAATGTCGGCTAACTTTCCAAAATGCGAATGCTAGAAAGATCCATGCTATGTTGAACATCAACGCGACGAATTTGATGCGAGATTATGCGAACATTTTTCATGCGTGCGTCGAAATTTCCATGCAATCTAACGTGGTTTACGATGCGACTGATGCAAGATGATCTATCTGAGTCACGTCTGTTTCGCGAGTCATTGCGATCTCAAACATAAAGAAGATGTCGAAGGAGAAGAAAGAGGCTGATAAAAGGAAGGAGTAGAGGATGGAGGAGCTTGAGGAGAAAGTAAGAAGAATGGAGAGAAAGGTAGAAAGAATGGAGCTAAATGGAGGCAAAAGAAAGAGGGACGACTACGAGGAGAGTGGGATTGGGAAGAAGAAATGGTGGGCGGGGACAGGTGAAAGGAACGAGGATGAACTAAGAAAAAGGAATGTAATTTTAAGGGTAGAGAAGGAGAAATGGGGAGGAAAGGAGTCGAATTGGGAGAAGGTGAAGGAGCTATTCGCGGAAGGGCTAAAGGTAAGGGTGACGGTGAGAGAAGTGATTGTGATGGGGCGGAGAGGTGTATGGATGACTATATTGGTGAAGCTGGGAGACAAAGGGAAGAAGTGGCGGGTGTTGGAGGCGAAGAGAAAGGCAGGGAACAGTATAGGGGTAAAGATTCACGAGGATAAGTCGGTGGAAAGGAGAGAGAGAGAGAGAGAGAGAGAGAGAGAGAGAGAGAGAG